ATTTTGGATGTACATATATGTGTATATATATATATATATATATATTTATATATACATAAACATATACATATACGTATATGTACAAACGAATACGCGCGCGCGCGCGTCGCGCAGCCTGCGTCCCCGATCGCGCTTTCTAACGTAGTGCACCGGCACTGCATTCTCGAAGCTACGCGCGCGGTACTCACGCGTGTCTCAGCGTGCGACGCGTATATATATGCGCGGCGCTGTATATACGTGTACACATAATATGCGTGTACGTACGAAAACCACGCCTCTTGAGTGCGCGGGTATGTATGTATCGTCACGCTCGTAGGACGGTTCACGGGGAGAAAATTGAAAACGGAGCTGCGCGCGAGCGCGGAAGACGATAGCGCGCGATATATTCATGAAGGTGGAATAATGAATCGGGACGAGAGAAGCATACACAGACACATATGTACGCCGCGCATCTCCGATGCGACGCGGCATGCGCGTTATCTGCCGTACCGGCAAACCACCGCGAATCGATCGCTTTATTTTTCAGCATAGTTCGACGTGCCGAGAAATTTCAGTCGCTGATACCACCCGGGAAACCAACTTTTAACAGACGCCCGTTCATTTTCTAAAGTGCAATATACATATATATATATAGATATGGATGTTTCTTTACTTCACAATTTCTGTTTACAATTAATAATGCAACACAACGCTTTATATTTTTTCCCCACAATTTTAAAATCGCTATCAATCAATTCAATAAGACTTAAAAAAAATTTTACAGCCTTTTTTGCTGTATTGCATTGACATGCCCGCTATTATACTGGGTATGAAAAAAAATGTAGGATTCATAAGTTATCCATAAGTAAAGAATATAGCGAAAGATCGATAGGTGATTCCCCAGAGCCGTGGCAGCCCTAGCCATGAATTCCGACCATAGCACGAACTTGCATCAGAATGACGAAAGGGATGGAAGGGCAGGGAAGGGTTAAGGACGCGTATCATACCGCTTGATTAATGTACTTCACCCGTACATCCGCCTACCTCTGCCGCGATCCTACCTACACGCGGATAGCTCGGACACGCGTGTCATTTGTTAGTTACGCCACGGAGCAACATATATGTGGTAGCAACAAAACGTTATAGAGAAACGATACAACGTACGCGAGAATTTACGATGGCAAATGAAATAAAAATTTATCAAAATTACAGTCTTTTTTGCGATAAATTGCATAAATTTTACGAGAGAAAAGTCGCAATATATATTAGATGAAAATCTATTAGAATTGTATTTAAATACTTGACGATAGAATCAAATAGATTTCAGTAATTAAATATTTTATATAAAATAATAGAAGTGTCTGAATGATAATTTATATAATAAAAAAACGACTTTAAACTTTAGATTTTAAAATATTTCCTTTCGAGAGGACATTTTGTCATACGCAAAGAATTTTAATCTCTACAACGATTAATTGAGTCTTGTACACAATCGATCTGATAAATTGCACATTTTTTACATATGACTTTTTACATTTTATCATATGCAAGAGATACGTCTGTATCTAAAAAAAAAACCTTGATAACAAATACTGACGTTTTGCAAATTTCCGTCGATTTCAATGGTGGTCCCAAGTACTCGATTATTATCGACATACTTATATATATTATATTTTATCAGATGAGAATTGAACGTTGTGCCGAGGCTAGTCGAATAGATCATGAGATACGAAAGATACGCACATTAAGGACACTTTTAATAGATAAGCAATTTGAGTGGAATGAGAGCTCTTATTCATTATTTCGTGACTAAGTTCACATACATCAAATAACACTCTTGAAATATTGTGATAAAATCTATTACATATTTCATATTTTTATATTTAAAAAAAAAGAGATTACCTATAGTTATACATTTTTAATTTTGCAAGCATTTTTGGTTTCAACATTATTAGTTTATCATTATTATTATTGTCATTTTAAATTATACTCCATATTAAACTAATTGCACTAATTTGGCTTTAATAGGAGAAAATTTTTAACCACACAGTACATTTTACACTACACAGTTAAAAAAACTGCAGAAATATTGAATATTTATCTTAATTGTCGAATGTTTAAAATTGAGAGCAGTGCAAGTTTTGAAATACTGATCCAATACCGCTCGTTTTTCTGAATTAATATTTCTATTTTCATCGATATGATGTATATTACACATCAATGCAGATTATGCACCGTGATAACATCATGATCGAAGATCACTGAGATATTTTTACGCAAAATTTGAAGGCTTTAACTGATAACAAAAAATTATATTAAATTGCAGAATTTATGTATGCGCAAATTTCAATATACCGAAATGTAATATGATAGGAAATCATCGTTTTTTTTTTACATTCAATACTAAAATTGCAGATACGATATTTTTTCCAAACTCAATCTTCGATGCAAATATGCATTTTTAATTCGACAAATTGGCTTACATCTTAAGTACGCTAAAATTTATAAATATTATCTAAGCATAAAATTTCTGTTAAATTGACGAAAATATTTCAATGTCGTACGTTTTATCTTTTCAGTTTAGAAAAGGAAGTCCAATGGTCAGCAATTTTAGTGTCAACTTAAAAAAGCTTTATAACGATAAAACGATTTACGAGTTTCAATGATTATCTTAACCGAAAATCATATTCAAGGTTATACTGATGTTTTATTAACTTATAACATATCTTTTATCAATAAGAAGTATAATTCATGGTTGAGTGAAATCAAATTTAACGATAAGAACAGGATGGTACAAAGTCTAATTATAATTTCAATTTGTTGCATTGTAGTTCGTAAACTATCGATTCGATGCTTTAACTGCACGTAGATTGTCCATCACGCATGACCCAAATCTGGCGTACTTTAGCACAAAAATTCTTTCGCAAAACAATAAGATTGATAATCTTGCCTTCCGGCTAAATGATGAAAGTATATCTCCGATAGATATAATCTGTCCTTGCGTTCCGTGATAACGTGATGCATATTTATAAAAGCCGACTCACCCGAACTCGGTCAGTCACGTATTTAAACGGATCAGAGAGGTGTAAGAAGAACGCGTTCCTCTCTCAAAGTTCGGGAAGAATAGACAATAGACGATGAAGGGTGAGTGTTATGAAACGCTTAATAAATTTCTATAAGACTGTTAAAGTAAAATAATCGGAATATTTGTGCACCGTGCCGCTACTTTGGTCAATCCAAATTGATTTAATTGATATTTCTTGTAAGAATTCTAACAAAAACCGATTAAATTATGATTCGATCGTAACTAATATCACAATCAATTTTCGATGCAGGAATAAACAGAATATACGGAATCACCATTGCCTTCCTGGCATTGTGGATCGTAATCAACGCAGACGCGCCCACGAAATGTCCGTACCCGTCAGAGGAATTTCCAGAAAACACCACGACCAATATCGCGCACGAAATCGATTGTACCAAGTTCTACAAGTGCCACGTTGGTAAAGGAGTCGAGCAAAAATGCCCCTTGATGAATAAGGACGATGACGTATCAAGACTGCATTTTAATAGAGAAAAACAGGTCTGCGATTGGCCGTGGGAGGCCGGGTGCGATGCTTGCCCTCCAAAAATAAATAACGAATGGCCGGATGCTAAGTTACCTGCCGAAAACGGCGATTGTAGGAAGTATTACGTATGTGTAAGGGGTAATCCAGAAGAAAGGCTTTGTGCTGCAGGTACGTGCTTCAGTCGCACATGCCAGGATTGCGTTAAAAACCGGGAAGGTGGGAATTGCGGATCATTACCACCATCAACAACAACAACAACATCAAGAAGACCACCAACACCGCCACCAGTGTGCCAACCGGACGGCGATCGACAGCAACATGATTGTAACTGCGTTTTGTATTACGAGTGTCACATTGATTTGGGCTGGGTACAGGAAACATGCCGAGGCGGTCTTCATTTTAGTCCGACGGAAAAAAGATGCATGACCCCGGACAAAGCTGGTTGCAAAGTGTTGAACGAATAATAGAAAACTTGATAGCTGTCCGAAGTCGAATTTCCCAAGAATGGATAGTGTCACGATTGCAGATTGTTTTATGGATGGCAAATTTGAAAAGTAAACCTACTATTCTTGAGGATTCTGTTTGAAATGGTTGACGATACATTCCGGAAGATATAATATATAAAAATGCCAGAATTTAAATCACTAAAACGATTGAGCGTAGATGACTATACTGATTTTTTAGAGAAATCAAAAATCTTTTTAGAGAATCTAAAACTGAAAGCAGCAACGAGTATAAAGAGAAAATATGTATATGTATTGCGAGCTTATTAAAGTTACATTATTAAATTTGTAAGAGTAGATTAGTTTCCTAAGATATTTTAATAAATCTCTGATAAATAAAAACTGTGTTTTTTCGACATTTTTTGCTAATCTGATCCATTAATCAATTGCATGATTAATCACTTCAAATTTAGATAAGAATAATCTCATTTGATAATCTAAACTAAGTACATAAAGATACCATTCTTTCATTGCTCATAATCACAATGCCAGCAAATACATATCACGAAGCGCCATATTGATGACACAAATAGATTGTAAAAAATCAATTAGAATTATCAATCGAAATTCCCTCTTTCCTAACTGTCCTTTTGATCATTACAAATTTTCTCATGCTATTTTTAGAAGCACGTTTAATGAGCTAACCGGATATTTTATATGTGTGCAATTATTTGCGGGAAAGACATATAGATATAGAAAAAGAGGTTGACAAAAAGCGGAGGAACACCGGCAGCATTTCGATTCCGGTGACACAGTGACACGGAGCCTATCAGCCGAAACCCTCTATTCGGTGGCCGTTTCTGATAAATAGAACGGTACCGGGAACAGTGTCGCGGGTCCCGACAATGGGCCGCCGGAAGACCGGGGCAGCTTTAATTTCCCCCCGTAGTTCCTGGCAATTACCGCGTGGCGCGGTCCGATAGCCATCTCTATCTCCGACCACAATGCCACCAGTTCCGACGCACCCCGTTCCTTGCCACCTTGCCAGCGATTTACTTCCCTCCTCGCCAACGGAGCTTCGTCGACCTTCGACGATTTTTCTTGTCCCGACGTGATACACGAGCTGTCTGATGTCCCTACAACCGATCGCGCGAGTTCACAAATTATCGACGAAGACAAATCTGGTTCATCTAATTTCAGAAATTATATTTTATAATTTTATGTAATATTCTTGTCAATTGTCATAAAAATAGAATTTGTCGCTGAACATAATTTTTCCATTAAATTAGACAGCGTTGCAATATTACGCTTTTAGAAACGTATCTATTAAAGATTGTAGCTTTATAAGATTAGATGAACCGATTTACAATTAACAACAAACTTTCGTTGCGCATGAAATAAAAATTTACGAATTATTTTCTTGTGCATTAATTGCTCCCGGAAATTTTTTTTCTTGTGATGCAAAACAACTGTAAAATAATTATTTGCCACAGTATCACGAGTACTACAAGATTAATTTTTTTTCCGAAACTGGAATTATTCGCTTGAACGAGAGAAACGGGGCGCACGTGCGAAGCGGTGCGCGCGAGAGTTAGGTCGGGTGTTTAACAACTCGCGGCCGAACTCCTTCGAGGAGTTCGCAAATGGTGCGGGACGATTGGAACGCAACTGCTTAAGTTCGGTCACCGGGGAAAGAAGGAAGGAAAGGGTGCGCGCGCGAGCGGCGGCGGAGAAACTCGCTCTCTGTCTCTTTCTCTCTTTCTCTCTCGGCAACATTATCGTGTTTTAATTTAACTTGCAGCTGCACTTTAATTAGACTTTGGCTGAATGAGGAGACGACGCTCGACAGGCAAAGCGAATAAGTACTGGCAAGTAAACGGGAGACGAAGCGAGCGAACTCTATTCCTCATCCATTTCCCTGTCCCTTGGCGATCTTCTCACCCCCCCCCCCTCTCCCTTCTCTTGTACCGTCTTTTCCTTCCTCATCTATCCACGGTTAGACAGAAAATTCGAATGATAAGGAAAGAGCACAGCGGAAAGGAAGGTAATTGGCCAATGTCGACAATACGGCCGGCGACGTCGCTTCTACTTAATTTTTCTTCTCTCTGCGACTTCACTTTGTAATGAGAAAGATATTCTTTGAGGTACACATCTTCGACGCGATTATACGAGAAATCTGTATAATTTCTGAAGGCATTCCAGTATTATCGCGCTTTCCTTCAGCTTCATATTTTTCGAGAAATTTGCGGCCGTCTTTTTCTCTCTCTCTCTTTCCGTGAATTTAATTAACAATCATTATTTACTACAATTTTTCATTAAATACCTCATCAATTGATTAAATCGAGAATCAAAATTTTATAATATATATTTACGTGCATTTTCATCGCATAAATTATGCTGTTAAGCGTGTGTTTCGTCATATAACGAATTTTAGAGATCGTCGCGCGTTTCCCGTTTCGAACACCTCAAAAAACGCGCTTCTGACATCATGGCGTTTCCGCTCACAGCTATTCAACCGTCGATATTACTTCGCTCGTTCGCGCGAACGCGAGACGCTAGCTACTTTCTGTAGCTGCACATTCTTCGCGGAACTTGCAGCACGAAACGCAATAAATCTCCCGACTCTTCCGCTCACAACGTTTCGCGTTGCTCGAAATAATGACATTGCGAAGCCATGGACTCGTGTGAGTCGGTTTTCAATGGCGCCCCCCATCTCACGCGCGCACCGGTGTCTCTTCGCGCTTAATGAACGCCGAAACTGTCGCGAAGCCTCGCCCATGCCTGAGCGGCGCCTTTTCCACCCTCCTATATTCGTTGTCACGAGCTTCGCCAACAATCGCGACAATGGCGGGTCTTCGTATTCTGACAATTGACATCAAAGGCGATCGCGAAGTCTTATCGCGATCCCGTGAATATTCAGAGATTAAACGAGATGATCGAGTTCGGCCTACGGAGTTATCAAGATCATGTATGTCATCCTTGGAACGATTGGATCTTTTCAGACGTGAAATTGACATTATACACTCTGATAAAAAAAATTAACCCAATTATATTTCTACAATCAAAAATAGGACACAATGCATCCCAATATGTTATTTTCTCGAAATAAATCGAAAGAGAAAAACGGAGAGTTGTTATTTCGGAACGATGCATCTTCGTATCATGCCTATCATTTCTACTTCCAATCGTCCGTCTACGATGTTCCAAAAATGTTCCTCATTTCTTTCGATCTCTTTTTTTTTCCTTTCCGCGGGATTCTAATACTACATTCGTCTTCCACTGAGAACCTCTGTTCCAGGTCGAGAGCACTTATTCGGGCCATAACTCCCGCGCGCGTGTTCCCTCCGTTTCTGCCATCCCGCCCTCATAAATACACGAGACGAGGCGAGGAAGAGGAGCAGCGAGAAAGGGTGGCGGCAGCAGGAGGGGTACGCTGGCAGAGCCCGAGACGAAAACGGCGAAGTCACACTGCCGGTGGGGTGAGCGGCGGATACGGAGCACGGGAATCCGGGACTTTAAAACAAATATATCGCGCGTAAATCCAGCGTGGATGTACCTAAGTCTCCTGTCGGGGACCCCTTCCCAAACGGGGAAACGTCGCGGAGACGCCGCGAGGAAAGAGAGCGAAGCAAATCACCGACGTTTTGCTTTACATATTTCCCGCGAAATTGTCTCGGTCGAGAGGGGAAAAAGACACGACCGGATCAGACGAGAATACACGGAGTAATAAGACGGACGTTTAAAATCCCATCTCCCTTTTCTTCTTTTTACATATGTAAAATGTTTGACTGTGTAGATTTTTCGCGTTTCTTCTTGCAGCTTTAGATTTTTCCGTTTATAATGCCACAAGTTAATATTACGCAGAGAAAAAAGCGTTTT